AAGAAAAGCAATTCAGAAGGCCAGGAAGGTAGTACAGTGAAGGGGCTAGCTTAACCATGGCTATGGCAAAAACAAACAATTGGTTCTGTCGGCCCCTCCCAGCCCAGTGGCCAGGCCTCCTCACCAGCCCCACCCACCAGACACTTTGTCCTGAACACTGGCTCCTTCCACCCCTTCATTTGACACCAGTTGTGTCCCCTCCAAGCCCCTTGAGCTACAGGCTCTTGGTTCTGGGGTCTGTAATTAGGGACTCAGTTCATTACTGCCCAGATAAGCACGGTGATGGCCAAGGCTGCGTGTGCCCGGGCTGCGTCCTGCAGTGCCTGCTAGCTAGCCTGCGGCCACTCGGCGGCAGCCTTTCCCTCCTCAGGGACAGGCCCTCCGAGCGTGCAGGAGGTGCTAGATCCGTGCCCTGCAGCCCCTCTGAGGGCCTGGCCTCAGACACCGCAAGCACAAAGCGGCTCCCTCTGCAGCTCAGCAGGGCACAGAGCCCCGGGCAGGCTGCTTGACCGGCAAAGCAAGGACTCTAGCATTCCGGGAGGAGCCCACAAAGGGCTGGAGTTGCCGGGTCCGACTGCTCACCAGGAACGGACTGCAGGCGCCAAACAGGAAGGTGCTCAGCACTTGGAAGGCAGACTCTAGGACCCAGTGGAAATGTGGGGCTGGTGGGGGTAGTGGTGGCTGAGAACCTGCCTTGAACCCCTCCTCTGTCCCCCTCCCCCAAAGTCCTTGGGACTTTGCACAGCCTCCATGTGGGGCGTGGGGCGCTGAACTCAGGGGGATATTTTGTTTGGATTTCTTTCGTTTTGTTTCGCAGTGCTGCGGTGGAACCCAGGACTTCACTCTGAGCTACATCCCCAGCCTCTTTTACATTCATTTTGAGACCAGATCTTACTATATCTCCCTGTTGCGACGGCTGGGCTCAAACTTGGAGAGCCTCCTGCCTCAGCCCCCAGAGCATTCTTTCCCTGCGTGCCCGCCGAAGCGCTCCGTGAGCTCTCCATTCCTGAGTCTGCTTTCTTCAGATGCACCCACGGGCCTGCTGCTTTGCCCTCCTGCCAAGGCGGTGCTCCCCGTCCCCTCGGCAGTCCTGCCCACTCCTGCCTGCTGACCCAGGGGCTTCCCAACAGCAAGGAGCCTCCTTCGTGAGTCAAAGGCCCTGGAGATCGTGGCCCCAAGGAAGGTGACAGGCAGGTGGCAGGGCTGTGGGAGAGCCAGGGCAAGCTGCCTCCGTGGGAGCCAAAAGCACAGCCTGGCCCATCTTACTGGAACCCGACCCTCTCTGAGCCACCCCCTGGCATGTGGCCTCTCTGCCGGTGCACCTGTTGGGCCCACCCTTTCCAGGGGCCCACGCCTCTGCCGCCCTTATTTGGGCAGAATCAGGCTGAGTGAGCACTCAGATGTCATTCTATAAGTATCCGGCCTAAAAATAGGGAGAGGCTGCCCTAAGTGTAGGTCCATGCTGGCCGAGTCCATCCTGGAGCTGGACTATTGCAGGGTGGCTCTCACAGAGACTCAGGGAAGATGGCCTTCCCAGCTGGGGAAGAGTTTCAGCTGCCTGACCTGGCATCTGTCCTCTCCTCCAAGAGCCTACAACATGAACAGGGCCATGCAGGATGCTCCAGAAGCTCTGGTGGCCAGCACAACCAAGGGGGCCTAAATCCATGGCCCCCAAAGAGAACATGAGGTGCCCAAAGAGACAAAGCACCAGTGTGTCTCAGGGGATGTTCACACCTTCCTGCACAGGTCAGTGCACAGGTCCTGGATGGTGTACTGCAGGACCCACACTGATCAATTAGCATATTTCATCTTCCTGTTGAAGGTGATTGGTCAAGCCCAGTAATCTTCCCTCTGAACTCAGTGGGAAAAGGAAAGGCAGGGGCATGTCAGGGAATTAGGAAGATGGGGCAGAGGGAGGCCCGAAGCTACCGTGGGAGAAGAGAACTCACTGAGACCAAAGTCCCCACCAAAGATGTAGCAGCTGAGACCCAAGCCTAGTGATAGCTTTGAGCCCATCTCTGCCTGAAGCCCTCCCCCTGGATTTTCATTTGCCTTGGTGAAAAATTGCCTTCTTTTTCCTAATTTGATTGGAGTTAAGTAGAGACGCTGTGACCGGAGGATCCTGGTGACTTGGATTGTGTTGCAGGGTGGCGGGATGTCAGGCTGGTGAGGCTGCGGTGGGCCTGGAGAATGCTAGCTGCTGACAAGGTGCTCTATGCACAGCCTTTAGGAGGCCAATGGCCACATGTGAGACGTGTGCCTGGCCACCTGGCACATGCTGCTCTCTGCTGCAACGTCTGCCCTCGGCCCTGTGGAGAGATCATCCTTTAAGACAGAGGGTGACCCAAGTCACCCTCCTTCTCACCACACCTCTCCCTGTGCTGTTTTCCATTTCTCCCTGGCCTGGGGTGACCCATGAGACCCTAGAGAGCTTGGATTTTGCTGTGGGGGATACAAGGGCAAAAAAACCCAGAACTGGCTGAGCAGTGACCCAAAGCTACTGAGCACTAAAGTAGAACTGGCTTGAAATGTGAAGGTCAGGGCTTTCATGTTGGGATCTTTAGGGGCTAGGGAGCCAGGGTCAGCCACAGATGGGGTGCTGGCAGGAAATGCACAGGCACTGTGGGTGGGTGAAGAGTCCACAGCCAGCCTCAGGATGGGGAGCTGAGCTGCCACAGCACAGCACAGGCCGCTTGTGCAACGTTCTGTGTCCTTCCCTTCAGTCTGTGCTGCCATGGGCGGGGATAAGCCAAGGCTGGAGGCTCACCAAGATCAGAGAAGCACACCTGAACCAAAAGCAGGAGGCCCTGGAAGGCCTCTAGACAGGTGACGAGGCCATGGAGGCTGCAAAGCAGGAGCATTGCCTGGGGTGCCCCGAATAGTGCTACCCTATGGAAGAGGAAGACAATCATAGGGAGCGACAGGCAGCATCACACCTGTTCACTTGGTTTTTCCCAGGGAACTTGTGCCAATTAATTCTTAGATTCATTCGCTGGGGTTGAAGCTCTTGGCTGGCAGAAGCCAGACTGATTGATGTCTTTCCAGGCTCGTGGGCACTGGTAAGGGAGCTGCAGCCCCAAAAGTGGAGCCAGGATGCTCTGAGATGGTCCTCTCCCAAAGGGGACCCCTGAGGCTGGGCCCACTGTGACCAGGGTACAGTGACACTGCACTGGGAGCACTCATGTGCACCTGGACAGGGGGTAGCTGCAGCTCCAAAGGGAGACTGGTGAAGGAAGGGGGCAGAGCTCAGAGCTGTCCCTGAGGCAGGCAGTGAAGCCGCATGGGAGAGGCCGCAGTAGGACAGCGCCAGTCCTACCACACAGGGGCAAACCCCACCAGGAGGGCCTCTAAGTCCCACTAGGACAGTGACAGGGAAGGAGGCTGGTTCAGGAACCTTTCCAGGGAGTGTTGCTGGAACAAAGAGTCTGTATGCAGCCCCTGTTGCTCTACTGAGGGCTGGTATCAGTCCCAGCTTGGTGGCCCCGATGGTGATGGGTCCAGTTACCTGGAGGTATGTGTGCTGCCTTTCCACTAGTGAGAATGCCACCCACAGGAGATGTGTTCATTGCTTCCTGGGACCCTGCAAAAGTGGGGAATGGTGTGTACCGGGAGGCCACCCGGGAGCAGGTGCTCAGAGTGGAAGTGGCAGCCAATGCCCGGGAGTGACCCAGATGAAGCCCTTGCCAGGCCTTCGTGGGAAAGGCTGGCTGTGAACACTGCAGCCCCACCCAAGAAGGCTGCTTCCAAGGTGAGGCTGGGGCCAGCTTTGC